CAAAAAAAAAAAAAATGCTCTTCTTTTGGAAAGGCAGACTATGCACCAATACTTATATGCATCTTTTTTTTTTTGGTACCGGGGATCAAACTTGGGTCCTTGTGCTTGTGAGGCAGGCACTAGAACCACTGAGCCAAATCCCCAGCCCTATGCATCTTAATTATAAGATTTTTCTGGCTATTTGCATATCAGTCAGAGCAAACATTTACATACAAGTTATTATATGGTGGGTAATTTGACTAAATGCTTTGTATGTATTATCTCTTAAACCTCTGAAAACCTCTCTGAAGTAGGCTCTATAATTACTCCATTTGACAGATGAGAAAACTGACACATACAGGCATCAAGTAACATCCAATGTCTCATTGCTAAGGGAGCCAGAATTCAAAGCCAAGCAGCCTGCTCCAGTCAGTGCATGAAACCACAGTGCAAACGCGTAGGAATGTGCCTTACACAGAGTAAATCAATAGAGGTTTACTGACATGAACTTCATAGCTGAAAACAACTTAGAATGAAGATTTAAGAAGACCTAGTCTGTCAATAACTATCCATGTTACCATTGGCAAGGACTGGATCTTGTTTTAAATTACTATTATTTTAAATTTATAAAACATAATTGCATAAGAACCTTAATTATTGTGGATTTATTTTAAAGAGAAGAAATAAATTCTTTAAATGTCTAAAAAAAACTTAATCTGGATGACATGATAAACACTCAGCAGACTGTGACATCAGTAATATCTAACATGATCTTTTATGTTTTTGCCTTTTCTGGCTTGTTTCCTCATTTATAAATGGAAAGTTTTCTAGACTGTACATTCTTTAAATGCAACAGTTGTGCCTTGTTTGTTGCTTTATCTTCAATAGCTAGCACACATATTTCAAGACACACTTGATAGATTTGTCTTGAGTGAGTATGGGGAAGCCTGAAAGACATGTACCAAATTGCTTTTCTTACCACTACTCGTAATGTTTTTACTAAGATTTCTCTTCCAAATGTAGTCTCCAGTGAAAAGTTGATGTTATGGAGGCCAATTTCCAGAGGAAGCAGGCTGAAGGTCACCAAGTGGCTGGAAGAGCCCTCCACTTGCTGACGCACACATTTGGAAGGCTGTGTCCCCTGATGGCCAATGGTAGGGTTTCCTGATGTGCAGATCCCCTCCTCAGTAGACATTTTAACACAGAACTGAAATATCACAAGGGAAGCATCATATCAAAATCCTTCATCATATGAGTCATACATATTATGACCAAAAAAAAAAAAAAACTTTATCTGTAAGAAAGTTTGCCCTGAATGATGCTTGTCTGGACACAAGCTCACCCCTGGTGCTTTACCAACATTACAATAACCCCTTGGGTTCTAGGGATGGGAGGAAGCTGGATTCGGATTTCCCAAGGTATGCCCATAGCAGAGTTCAGCAGTGCATAGGAATATCTAGGAAACTCAGAACTGGTTCAGAGATGTCCTCCCTTCCTTTGACCACTTCTTCCTAAATTAGGTGCAAAAATACTGTTGTTCTTTTTTTAGGCTATTGCAAGAACATTTGTTACAGCATCTCTTTGCATGTTTATGTGTTAGCCTCAGGATTGAGCATTCTGTATCATTCATCTTTGTATCTTTGAGCTCAGCTTCTGACATCTAATAAATAATGGTTTGATAAAAGGCTGAAAACTATGTACTCTAACCCATTCAGGGGTCTGCCCAATATGTCACCAACTTACTTTTCTAGTCTTTCAACTTCCACTCTTACCGAATTTTGCAACTCAGCTCTGGATCTTGAAAATTATAAATTCTCATCTTGGCTCTCCTTACTTACTGTGCCATTGGAATAGGTTGTACAGCCTCTCCTATCTTCTATTTCCTAATTGTTATACTGTAATAGAAAAGTATTCACTGACTTCTGGATAAAATAGTGAATATATTTCATCTTTCTTACAAAATCTGGTGAACTGACAGAATCAAGAATTTTATCCAAAAGAATAAATCCATAAAATCTGGAATAAATCAGGCCAATAAAGAAAAACATCAACATTTGTCTTAGTTACTTTTCTTGTTACTGAGACAAAATGCCCAGCACTCAAAGTTACAGGAGAAAATGTTTATTTAGCTTACAGTTAGTAGAGATTTCAGTCCATAGTTGGCTGGCTCCAAGGCAGAGTGGCATATATGGCAGAGGGGCATCTCAGAGGAGAACAACAGATCATGGTACTCACAAGGTAGCAAAAGCAGCAAGGGGCGTTAGCAGCTTTTTTCTGCCCCTTTTATAAATTCTATCTAGGCAACTGGGAATAGGTGCCAAACCAATCAGTGGACTGATTTAGTAAGCACACACCCTTAATCCCAGCATTTCACCATGAATCAGTTACACACTCTAGATTCTGCCACCTCTGAAAAACTGCATTAGGCTTTGGGGAAACATCTAGACACAAGCCATAACAACATTCAACCATGAATTTTGTAAAATTTCTAAATTCCCCCTTAACCACCTTCTTGGGACAACCAAGGTGGGTGGGGTAGGAGCTAAAAAAAGACCTTCTGGTCACTTGAGGCCAAAGACTCCTTCAGCATAGCAGGGGTAGAGTAGGAAGGGTAGATCCTAGCACTCTGACAGCTGAGGTAGGAGGACTGCAAATTCAGGCCCAACCTGGACAACTTAGCAATGCCCTGTCTCAAAATAAAAGGTTAAGACAGATCTGGTCATGTAGTTCAGAATGAAAGCACTGAGTTCAGTTTCCAGGAACACACATACATGTGAGCATGTGGACACTCACAGGGTCATTTGATAAAATTCATTTATGAAGTTAAGCACAAGTAGCAGATTAAAGAAAACAACTACCAATATATATAAATGGTGAAGGATTAAAAGTCATAAAATATTAAGTGCTCCTATAAACAATAACAAGTATTAACATTTATGAAGTACTGCCTGTAGGCCAGGCATTATATTTACATGAATTAGCTGGTTTTACCTTCAACAATGAGATATATACTACTATTATCCCATTTTTTCAGATGAGAAAACTAGACAAGAAAAAGCTAAGTAAACTTTGCCCTCAGCAAAGAAATAACTTAATGGGAAGCTGGTGAAAGGATATGAAAGTAGCATGCAGAATATCACAGTAGCACACAAAAGAAGAAATACAAATGGCTGGTGGACAAATGAAAAGAGACTTGACTTTGTTAGTAAGCAGGGTAATAAAATGAAAGAATCAGTGGTGGGTCCTTCTCCTCCATCACATTAGTAAAATTGTATATGTATTTATAAATAAGACATAGTGTTATCTTTCATGTTTCCAAATATTATGTAGTTGTACTCACCACACAGGTACTGTATACTACGTTGTGATTTGCTTCTCTTGAACAACGTTACTTTTTTTTAGCTTTAATCAATATGATACATTTACTACCTATTTAGTCCATTAATATCAACTGATATGTAGTATTTATTCTATGAATCAAAATGTTTATAAAAATTTCAAGAATGTTAGGGATCTTACCCACATAAGTTGATAAGAATGTTAATTGATGTAGTCCTTCTGGAAGGCAATTATGGTAATACTTAACAAAAAGTTAAATGTTGATGTCCTTTAACACAGAAATTCTACTTCAAGACAAAACATCTGTCCTACAGAAATACTCATATGTATGAAGGAAGATTGCATCTAAAAGTAGACTTTCCAAAGATAATTATAATGGTGGAAACTTGGAATATATGAATGTCTTTAATAGAAAATTGGTTAAATATAATAAATTCCATATGTGAATAACTATGCAGCTGTGAGAGAAATAAAGAAAGCCTTTGTCTAGTCACAGATACTAAAAATATTACCCTAACCTTTTCCTAGAAGTTAAATTTTTAAAAATTTTCATGTAATACAAGTACATATTAATAAAGAAAAAAGCCATTCTATGAAAAACTATTTTTTCACATAAGAACACAATTGTTACTGAGAAAAAATTATAAATTGGGCCTCATGACAAATTTTAAAGATTTTCCACAAAAGACATTTTCACAAGATGAAATGGCTAGGCTAAGACTGACAGAAATTGTGTTCAAAGAATATATTTGACAAAGGATTATTATATAAACCTTATGTAATAGCTCCACAAACTTAAAAGAACAATAGCTTAACAGAATTTGCAAAACTCATGAACATGCATTTCACCAAAAAGGTTATGCAAATGGAAATGAGCACATAAAATATTTTCAAATTATTAGACTTTGCATAAATGCAAATTAAAATGCAATGTGATATTACCACATGACTATTAGAAATGATAAATATTTAAAACTATGAAAATCAAGTTCTGATAATATAGAAATAATCACTCATATATTGCTGAGGGAATATATAGTGATACAACTCCACTAGCAACAGTTTTAAAACCCAGTGTTGTTCTATGAGGCAATGATCCCAGAGGAATTAAAATTTTAATTTGCATGCAAATATATAAATGAATGTTCACAAGAGTTTTGTTCATAACTGACAAAAATAGAAACAACCTGAGTGCCATCAATAAGTGAATGGTTAATGAAACTATTCTGAGTATCATGAAACACTATTAAGGTGTTATGATTGATCTCATCAGTTGTCTGTTCTGGCATTATGAAAATGAGAATGCCTCTGAGTAATTAGAAACCCAAAACCTAAAGGACAGCTGTATCTGGAAGATCAAAGTATTAACCCAGGAATTAAACCAAGGACCATACCAACAACAAAAATAGAAATGATAAGACATTTAAATAAGGCACAAACACAGGCTTCCAGCTCACCAGAGATAAACTTGGGGGGAAATGAGGTGGAAAAGTCAACAGTAAACCATCTGGATACTCTGAATAGATAGCACAGGAAGTAGCAAAACAGATAAATGAGGCTCTAGAAAAATTCAAAACAGAAATAATTTCCCAGGTAACCACAGAGATGGTGAGAAGAATGAAAGACATGATTAGAGACTCTAGAAAAGAAACAGATAAAAAAATAGATGAGCTCAGGACCATGATGGAAACCATGAATGCCCAGCATAGGAAAGCAATGGAATGCACGAAACAGATTCAAACAGATACACAGGAGATTAAAAATGCTATTGAAAGCATTTGCAGCAGAATGAGTGAATGTGAAGATATAATATCAGATACAGAAGATAGGATTGTGGTCAGTGACCATGAAAAGAGAGTTCTCTTAAAAACAGTAAGCGATCATGAGAAACCGATCCAACAACTCCTAGATGATGAAAAGAAGAATAATGAAAGACTGATAGAAATCCATGAAATAGCAGGAGAAACTACAAATGACATAAAAAAAAAGATGTTCACAGAATTAATGACAGAAAACTTCCCAAAGGGAAAGAATTTGACATACAGATAAGTGAGGAATATAGGACTCTAAATAGCCATGATAATAAAAAAAATCTACACCTAGACATATAATAATCAAGATCCTGGAAACCCAACTGAAGAACAAAATACTACAAGCAGTTAAAGAAAAGGAGCAAATCACATGCAAAGGGAAATCCATCAGAATCACAGCAGACTTTTCAACACAAACCCTCAAGTCAAAGAGAGCCTGAGTGAGGTATTTCAAGTCCTAAAAGAAAAAACTTCCAACCTAGACTGATGTATCCTGCAAAACTTTCTTTCAAAATTGATGGTGAGCCAGGGATTTAGCTCAGTGGTTCTGCTGCCTGCCTTGCAAGTGCAAGGTCCCAAGTTCAATCTCAGGTACAAAAAACAAACAACAACAATAAAACGGATAGGGAAATGAGATACTTCCAAGACAAGGAACACCTGAGGAATTTCATGAACACCAAACCAGCACTCCAAACAATTCTAAACAATATCCTGGAGCTGACCATCCCCAGTGGATGAAAGATAGCCTCTTTAATAAATGGTGTTGGAAAAACTGGATTTCAACCTGCCAAAGATTAAAACTAGACCGTTATCTTTCACCATACACTAAAGTAAAATCCAAGTGGATTAAAGATCTAAACATTAAAACAGAAACACTAAACTTGCTGGAAGATAAGTTAGGCAGAACTCTTCAAGATATTGGCATAGGAAAAGACTTTATGAACAAATCCTCAGTAGCATGGGAGCTAGCAGAAAGAATCAACAACTGGAA